ACCACAACAACAAAACAAGAACAAAATCAACATGCAACAACTACACCAACAGTATTACAACAGCATAAATATTAACATCACATTAACAACAAGTCAATAACACTTGCATCAACCATAACAACAATACAATGCAAAGCTAGTGACATAACAATAAATAGCGATATTGTAATAATTACTACTACTGCTACAGCCACTAATGCCGCTATTGCTGCTACTACTGCAACTACACATGCTACAAATACTCTACAACTACCGTCACATCAACAACAACAACAACAACAGGATTAAACAAGCATCCAAATGACGCCAATTCAAGATAACTAACCATCAAGTAATTAAATTGGAAAAAATTTAACAAATTTTTCCTTCTGAATTTGACTGCTTTTAAAAAACATCTATGTATTTTTTTATTTGTATTTCCTATATAAAAACAACAAATATCTTTGTATATATTGTTTTGTTTCTCCGTTAGTATGTTTATTTTGTGTGCGTGTGTACGTGTTTACAACATTGTGATGATTTTTGTGTGTGTGTGTGCGCGTGTGTGTGTACAATACTGTGAATTTCTTGTATGTTCATGCGTGTTTTGTGTGAATGTGTGTTGTGCGCGTACATATATTGTCTTGTGTTTTATGTATGTTTTGTGTTGTGTATCATGTGTGTGTGTGTGTGTGGTGTGTATGTGTGTGTGTGGTATGTGTAGTGTGTTTGGTGTGTGTGTGTTGTGTGTGGTGTGTGTGTGTAGTGTGTGTGTTGTGTGTGTGTTGTGTGTGGTGTTTGCGCGGTTAAAGTTTTACATGCTTTTATTTTGATGTTGTTTTTTTCGCTTTCTACGTCAAGAAATGCTCTTTATGGAAAATCATTACTAATGATCGCAACCTCAAACAAAGTAGGTCACTGGAAAAATGAGGTCAGCCAATCATCAAAGAGGTGTTGATAAATTGGCGAGATCGATGGCTCTAAAGTGAGAGAGATGAATTAATTTTTTCCAAGGTGAGATAACACATGCACTTATGTACGTGCGTGCGTGCGTGTGTGTGTATGTGTATGTGTATGTGTGTGTAGGTGTGCGTGTATGTGTGTAGGTGTGTAGTTTTGCCTTGTACGTGTGTGCGTGTGGCGTGTATGTAATTTTTGTTATAGTGAATGCGTTTTTTGTGCGTGTATGTGTGTTTTGTTGTGTGTATGTGTGTTTTGTTGTGTGTATGTGTAAAAATCTTACGTAAGGTGTTTTGTATCTGTTCGTGACTTTAAAATTTCCTCAAATGAGTATTTAGAGTGCGTGTATCACATTTGTAAGAGATATTAACAGATAAACATCAAATCATCATTGAGTAAAATTTTCATATAAAACGTTCTATTTCTATTACCTATCTATTTTATAACTTCAAATGAGAGCTTTTCACATCCTTGTAGACATTAAATAGTATCTTTCTCTGTCGGTAGATGGTTCAAAGATTCTAACGCATGCAAAATTTTTTACATCTAATGAGTGCATATCACTTGACTGGGCTGATATCATATCAAATTGTTCACGTTCAGTGTAAAATTATAGGATTTTAAAAGCAAATGTAACTTGCAACAGATATTCATATGCACACGAGCAATCTTGAAAGAAAAACTGTGTTTTTGTGTGTTTGTATATATGTGTGTGAATATCTGTGTGTGTGTGTGTGTGTGTCGGCGTGTTTATTTGTGGGTGTATGTACACGTGTACGTGTGATTCTACATATCTATGTGCCTATATGTGTATGTTTTTATGAATCAATGTGCAAATGGAATTAATAAAAAACAGACATAAAATCAATTTTTTGATAACAACAAATAATTTTTATACATACCACTGTACCATATCTTTAGCCACCAAATACGCACTTGCAAATACACACACACGCACGCACATATACGCACAAATACAAAACACACATACACACACAAACCAACATTAAAAATTAAAACAAAACACACACGCGCGCACGCACACACACACACACACACACCAGTTTTCATTCGTTGTAAATAAAAACCACATTAACATAATTACATTAACATGCTGATGATTGTTACATTAACATGATGATAACCGCAACCTGAAGATCAAAATGACAATAAAACGGCAATACAACCAATCACATCAACATAATGAAAAACAACAATTACATCAACCCATCATCAATGATATCTTATGACGTCATCAACAGGGTTACTGAAATCCTGTAAAACGACCTCACCACTGGGAATGATATCCGGAAAGATCCGGGATGATCAGATTACGTCATCATCTGTCCTTCCCCTAGGACCAGAGGGACAGTGCGCCGAGAAATTCGCCAGACCCTACGCCCCCGTCTGTATTTAACTTTTTTTCTTCTTGAATTATTTTTATGCTATTGTCTTTATTTTCATTTTATTTAATTATTTTTTTTATTTTATTTTATTTCAATCTGTCCAATTTTGTTTTTGTTCTATAATATTCTGTTTAACTTCATTTTTTATTTGAGATTTCAAATTTTCTCTGAAATTCTTCTACATTTATTTACATAGTAAAAATTTATTCTTAATTCATGATTAAATACTTGAAATATTTATTTATTAATAATTTCATAATAAAATAAACAAATAATCAAATAAATTTTTTTATTTATTATTTCAGGACGGTAAGAGTTGGTGCGCCAAATACAAATCCCTGTCCGAGTGGCTACAAGTGGATCTGGGTTTTCCCACTAAGGTAATATAACGTCATATTGTTTAAAATAATGTTTCATCATATTATTAAAATGACAATGACAACAACAACAGCGGCAACAACAACAACAACAATAATAATAATTTTTTTCTCATAATAAAAATACCACGATCACTGCAATTAGTAAATAATAGTAGTTAGTGTCTGACTCGCCATGAAATCACGTGCGTTCGTTATTTACATCCGCTGAAAAAACCAACTTGAACGATATGATGTATAAACTAAGTTGAAACAACAGTCAACACGTCAGTTGAAGTTTCAACTTATTTATTTTGCTGTCTATTTCTTTATTTTGTGTTTTTTTTCATTCATTCATTCTTTTTGTCATCCGTTCGACTTGAATGATTTAACCTTTTTTCAACTTGAATGTTTTCGATGACTGTTGTATGTCTACTCACTTGCTTTATCGTTCATTCATTCACTTTGTTGAGGTAATATGTTTTTTTTTTGTGCATTCATTTGCTCGCTCGCTCACTCGCTCACTCACTCACTCACTCACTCACTCACTCACTCACTCACTCACTCACTCACTCACTCACTCACTCACTCACTCACTCACTCACTCACTCACTCACTCACTCACTCACTCACTCACTCACTCACTCACTCACTCACTCACTCACTCACTCACTCACTCACTCACTCACTCACTCACTCACTCACTCACTCACTCACTCACTCACTCACTCTCACTCACTCACTCACTCACTCACTCACTCACGCGAAGTGCATGTAAGTAGTTTGATATTTATATTGGGACAATGAACAAGAATGAAGCCATGAATGATTACGATCAGCAGATGAAAAAATTATGTTTGCTTTCTCTAAGACTTTTAATTTGGCAGAGCAATCAGAACTCACACAGACATACACACAAACATACAAGCAAGCATACACACAAACATGCATGTAAGCACACATACAAACATGAAATGTACATACAGACATGTATGTACATTTCATGTATGTACATATATAAAATATAAAATACATTAACTAAATTCAAAGTGATATTGATGATGATGAGAATAAAAATGCATTTCTTCATGTGTCATCAAATAAACACACACCACACACACACCACACCACACACACTCATTCTCTCACACACACACATATACACACACAATCCTTCAATCCTTTTATTAAATGAAAGAAAACCTGATACTCAACAAAGTTTACATTTACATATTTTGTGGCGACGAAAAACCATAGATGCTGCTGCTGCTGATGCTGTTGTTGTTGCGCAGGCTGATGAAGATGATGATGACGACGATGACAACGTTGATGATGATTGCAATTATGATGACGATGAAAGAGAGAACGATGAAGATATAATGAAAAGTATGAAAGATGATGATCTATGCCAATACAACTGAAGATGACGAAGATGCAAATGATGATAAAGTTGATGTTTTTGATGATGTTAATGATGACGTGTACAACTATAACACCGATAATGATAATGATAAAAAACTCGAACAATGCATAACAAACTGATGCTGTATTTGGTTGACAATATCAGTTGTGCTGAGTGATATTCATGTAAATTTTAGTTGACAAAAATGGAGAATGATGATGAAGATGGAAAATAACAACAACAACAACAAGATATGACGATTACTAAAAATGCATTGACTTCTAATGCAAACTCGAGTTTCAGTCGAATGGATGGATGATGAACGATACAAATTAACCTTGGAAAAAGATATAAAGAGAGAGTGAAGAAGAGGAAAAGAGAGAAAAAGAAAGAAAGAGTTGCTCTTGAATGACTGACGGAATCACACCGACCCAACATCTCAATCCCAAATTAAAACACCACGGATCTTAAATTCCCAAAATCCGTCGCATCTCTTACGATTACGGCAATTACTATTACGTATCCCGATAACTACGGATACGATGTTTAACACCAGCCAGGCAAGATAAATGGTTTACTAAAAAGAAGAAAAAGGTATAAAAAGAGAGTGAAGAAATGAGTTAGAAAGAGAGAGAAAAGAAAAAAAGAAGAGAGAGAGAGAGAGAGAGAGAGAGAGTTGCTCTCTTGAATATATAACATGCAATCACATCACCACATCATCAGAGTGTGTGTGTTGTTTATTTAACTGTCTGTCTATTTCAATTCAAGGAGCACTGTACATTAACTGATTGATTGATTTATAAAATATATATCGTTTAAAAATTATTCAAAAACAATCGCACACACACACACACACACACACACACATACAAACACACACATAAACATACAATACACACAAACAAACACTACACACACACAGACATGTGTATGTGTGTGTTGTGTGTGTGAATAAATAAGCCAGCATAAATTTTCATTTAAAGTAAATACAGACAGTTGTGGATATAAATACGTATTACCTTATGAATCGATGTTTTGTTAAGTTACATGCCACGATGTTGTTGTTGTTGTTGTTGTTGTCTTTAAGACATATGTCATGTTCGTTTGATCTTGTCAATGTTGATGAATACGTCTTCTTTTTCATTTTGTTTGTATTTGTTTTATAATGGCAATAATAACATCATCAAGTGAAAGTTTCGTTCTTGGGTTTGTTGTTGTTGTCACGGCTGTTTTTAATGTTATTGATGTAAGCTTTGTTGCTTGTTGTTGCTATGGTTAATTTCTGCTGTATATTTTTGTTGTTGTTTACGAGATATGTGTTGTTGATGTTGAAGTTAGTGTTGTATAGTGTGACTGATTTTAAAGGTTGATTAATCTTTCATAACGACAGATGTGTATTTAGTTGTTTCATTGCTGTTGTTTTTATTGGAATAAGATGTTGGATGTGTTTTCCTATTAAGGTGATTCGAGGATGTCGTTTGTAAGGATGGATGTTTTTGTTGTTGTCGGCATGCAAGTGTTGTTGTTGTTGACATGTAGGTTTTGTTGTTGTTGTTTTATTTCAACCTTGTCCTACGCAGCAGACCTTAATAAATACTTCCTCGCTAGTAGTTTGTTAAACATCATCTATCAAACATTCCGAGCAACCCTAAAAGAGAGAGAGAGAGAAAGAAAAAGAGAGAAATAAAGAGAGAAAAAGAAAGAGAGAGAAAGGCAAAAAAAAGAGACAAAGAAAAAGAAGCATAATGAGAAAAGTAAAGAAAGAGAAAAAAAGATTACTTCCTAATATAATTCCATGTCTTTAAATATAATATCACACACACACACACACACACACACACACACACACACACACACACACACACACACACACACACATACAAACCAACAAACATACCTTCACACATAAACATTCATAAATACATAGATACAGAGACATATAATCATAAACACACACACACACACACACACACACACACATACACACACACACATATATACATACATACTTGATATACATTGAACACTTGTTCTCGCTATATAAATTTAAGATGATTAATAAGTCAATTTTATTGCAAAGTATATCTTTTTATATTTTTTCATTTTGATGGCCAATAACATTTTGAATAAAAAATTACCCAATTCCCCTTGAACTCTATATTTGTATGTACGTTTGTATGTGTGTTTGCATGTTTGTATGTACGTTTGTATGTGTGTTTGTATGTTTGTATGTATGTATATATGTTTATTTGTCTATAGGTATGTATGTATGTTTGTTTCTATATATGTTTCATATGCTATTGTTGCTGTTGTCTTGCTGGTAATGGCATTGTTGTTTATGTTTTTATAGAAATTAGTGATGTTTCTTGTTAACGTTTTTTTACTGACATTACAAGTGTTGTTATTGATGTTTTCACACACACAAACTGTAGTAGTCGAGCGCTGGTGTTGTAAATATTGCCGTAGACATAGTTGTTGAAAATGTTTTTATTAATGTCGTCCATGTTTTATTTGTTTTTACTCTTGTTTTTTTTTAATTAATCTCAACTATCTTTTAGTTGCAGTTGTTTTTATATTTCATAGCATGGAGACAGTTGTTGGGTGCTATTAGTGTTATTCTCTAGTCTGGAAATAACATCAATCTTTTCATCAGCTTACGTTAATGTAAACACAAGTTAGGTTGTTTTAATGGCGGGAGCTTGTCTCGCAAACATCAACAAAAACAACAACATCATCATCAACAACAACAACATTAACAAAAACAACAACATCAACAACAACAGCATATTAATAACGTCAACAACAGCAACATTAACAACAACAACCACTTTTACAACAACAGTGACAACATTAACAAAAACATTTACAACAACAGCATCAACAACATTAACAAGATCAAAAGCAACAACAGCCACAACTACATTGTCAAGTTGCTAACATTAAAAATAACAATAACAACAACAACAACAATGACATTGACAAACATTGTTGATAATCAAATAAATAAAAACATATAATAATAATAATAATAATAATAAAAATAATAATATTTTGATAATAAATATATAAAAAACAGTGAAGCAATCATCGCAAACAAACTTTCAAGTTACCAAAAAACAATAAATATTAACCTGAAGAAGTTGTTTTTTGTGTCTTTGATGCGGTTCCTCATCATCATCATCGTCGTCGTCATCGTCATCGTTGTCGTCGTCATCTTCATCATCATCATCGTCATCATCTGTAACTTTTGTAAATTTGCTTAGAAATTTCAGTGTTGTTCATAAACATTCAGCCGATTACAATGCCTTTTACAGTTTACAATATACAAAATGCAATTTGCCACAAAGTTTCGATATTTTTATAAATACTTTTAAGAAAATTCTACTTATTTTTCTGTAAATTTTTAGAAAATATTTTGAAAAAACAATATAAAAGTCCAAAAAACGGAGTCCTAAGCTTCAAACTAACAAAAATGTTTTTGGGTTTAATTCATTCTTAGGCTTTTGATAAACATTGATTGACATGTTTTCTGCAATATTTGATCAGGTAAATCACATTAGTATTTACTAATAAAATTTAACTTAATGTGACACACACAATCACATACACACAGACACATACAAACAGTCAC